AGAGTCAGAATAAAGTTCATGGATGACCTCTCAGCTATTGAAACAAGCACTACTGGGAAGCAAAACACACGATTGCTAATATTGCCTTGAGACACAATGATTGCAGTAGGTATCTACACACCTCAGAAGGAAAAACCAGGAGATTTTGCTGTCTGTAAAATGCTTTGCTTGCTCTCTTTCCAAATAAAATGTGTTCCAATTTATATGACAACATCATGCTTTGAAGAGAAAACTGACAGGTAAATGAATGGGTAGGTATTTGATTACCCTGTATCCTTACAAAAGCTTGGCTAGGATTTTGCTTGTATTTTAACTACTTATGTGGTAATTCAAAAGATGTAATTTGCAATCACTTCCTACCTTCATCTGCTGCATGGAAGAGTTTTCATCTCCCCCAGTACCATACCAGTACAGTATGTCTAGCACATGATGTAGTTACTGTGACATAATTCTCATTTCAATTGTAGTACAGATTTCAGTTACAATAATTTTACTTTCTGACAGGATTATATCTGAGGACATAAAACTTGTCAGGCTTGCATTTATCTGAAGAAATAACACATCCATACGTTGAGGCTGTGAATTAGCTCCTTACAGCAGAAAGCATCCCACATTGGCTCAACAGAGCACATTAGCAGAATTTAGAGATCTCTGGTCAGCTCTTACTGTATAAATATACAATGAATTAAACCAAAATTAAACAGGAATCTTATCTGCACTCCACAGAAGCATGATGGGTTGGGCTCACTTTTATCACATACTTTTCCTTCTAATCTGCTGCTAAAATAACTCAGAATGTTTAACCTGATAATGTCTTGAGCCCTAAAGTTACCTACACTCAAGTTTAAGAATGGGGTTGAAGATAATAATCCTTGGATTAGTTTTAACTGGATGTAGCAAGTGATTCATAAACTTAGTGAGTGTTCCACATAGTTCCTATTACTTCATATTATTAGTGGAATCATACATATACAAGCAAGAGACAAATCATTGTACATTTTGTTGCAAAATATAATTTAACGCAGACAGAGGCATTTGCATTTTGCAGCAGCTTCCATTGAACAGGAGCCAAGTACATTTCCTTCTTGGCCTCCTTTCTGTTTTAATTTTGTGCAGTATCTGTTAATTTTTTGTTTTTTCTTCTGGTATCATGTAATATCTAAAGGAATGCCCCCTAAATTAGCTTTTCTTCTTACACAGTTATTTTCAAAATCATGTAGCTGCATGTTTCATATTCCTAAGGAACAGAAAGAATGTTATGGCTTTGAACAGTATTCTACATTCTAGCTTTCACTGTATTCACTACAACTTTCATGCATCCACTTCAGATCTTTCCAAAGTATGCCCACATGAAATGAAATACATGCCCAGTTTATTAGAACAGAGTTAATCAAGAAAAAAAGCAAACACAAACACTTGTGGGTTTTTTTTTTTTACAATGTGAGAATTTTCATTTGCTTTGCTTTTTCATATATTATTAAGATGCAGTAGGGCCAAATCTGCTTCAGAAAAAAACCCTCCCAACTTCAAACACCAAAAAGGCACTACATCTTGGATCTACAAAGACTGGATGCATGTTGCTTTTAGACATGAAACCTGCTGAAGGGTGCTGTGGACCTCTCACTGGCCTTGCAAACACGGTATGGAAATCACCACTCTGGACAAATGACCTTGCTCTTCATCAGTCTGTTTAGGTGCAGAAGGCCATTTCATTGTGTCTGAAGGGAATCAGCTAATCGAACAGACAGACTTTTATCTTTGTAACCATGTAGCAAGCATATCACTGCTTTTCTTTAGAAAAAACCAAAATATTATTTTCTTTCACAAGTCAGGATAAGCCAAATTTGATCCAAATTCTGGATCAAAGTACTGATGAGGGGGAAAAGAAGGCAACATTTAGTTCATATGTCAGAAAAGGGGAAAGGTGACTGTTATCTGCTACAGAAAAGAGAAACTGACAATCCTATATCTTTCTGTTGTTTCACAAGACCTTGCACAACTATGGAAACAATTCTTTAAAACATAAATACAGCTGCATGAAAACAGCATCTTCCAGCAATATAATACAAATTTTTATTACTCAAAATACATGCATATCTAATATGCTGCAAGAAAGACTTAAGAAAATGTTAAAAGTTAATTAATTTGGCACAATTGACAAGTTTCTAATATTTGGAAGTCTGACTCAGTGGTTCATAAAAGAAAAACCTGCAAAGGAGTTTGGCTTTCAAGGGCCACATAATGAGAGTTCCAAAAACTCTCCAAAATGAGAGTTCCAAAAACTTTCCTATATGTCCTTGAACAAGATATTTTAGCTCTTTCACAGAAATTACTAGCCATAGCAATAATCATTTTAAACAGCAATAAGCAATGCAAAGACCTGCCAAATTAAAACAACATGTATTGAGATTTAGTTGAAAAATTGAGGAATAAGAAGAATATATATCTTTTTAGACACAGCTCATTCCTCCAGAGGACTTTGTTAAAATGTATAGGCAATTAGACCTAACAAGACTGTTAAGAAATCTATGAAGTATTAGTGCATGGCTGATGAAAAATTAAATCCACCTAAACCTGGATCTCAAAGTACTTTTCTCTCTATATGGACAATCCCACAGAATTTTTCATCCATTCCATTTTACTTATTTAATTTGTCAGTCTCCTAGAACAATGACTTTTACTTCTGTACTTGGAAACTGCTGTTATTTTACCAGTAAATAGCTATCACAGCAGTACACTTTTGTTTTAAAAATGGTGAAAAGAAGATAAAAGGAATAAAATTATTTTAATACTGCTATACTTACATAGCATAAACTTTCATTTTAGTCCTGAAAAAGAGACTTCCATCTAAAAAAATCCAACTCCCAACCTTAATTTTTATTACTTTTCCAGGTACTTGTTGGTTCTTTGCAGCTATTTTGCTCCATTTTGCCTGCCAAGCAAGTCTTTACACAACAGCAGCAATTGTCATCACCACCACTACTTATAATATGCACACTGCATAGAATGTGACAACTTCTAATCCCTGTTAAGTTGCTGGAATTCTGGAGGGATTTAATTAAGTCTATTACTTGATGTCACTGAGATCATGTTTTGGCCCTGTTCTCTCTCATGGCATTTAAGGAACACTCAACTTTCCAGCACAGTGGCACTTTACACATTCTGTTCTTTACAGAGAGGCATGTTTTTACCATGCCACTGTTTCTATACGTTGCTGCACATAAGCAGGTGACCTAATTTCTTGAAACAGAGAGCAAGGCCCAAGAGTCTGACTCCAAACTGCCACGTACTTTTATGGGCTGGCTCAGAGAATGTTCCAAGTTTTTTGCATCATTTAACATCTTGAAGAGGCTCCTTTAGCCAAAACTGTTTGCATCCTGCATATGCCAAAGTGAGTAGAGATCCACTGGTTTCCAAATGCAGGGACCAGAAATCTCTTGGCTTTTGAAAGAAGAAATAAATAATTTATTCTACATGTTTTGGTTTGGTAACCCTTTCATATATTTTCCACTATTTAAATTTGAAAGAGGCTATAAAAGGAATTTTTAAAAAATCACAGGGAAAATGGCAACTAAGGAATGTGACACTTTCTGTTTCTCCACATAACACCTTGTCTCTGCAATCATTTTCTAGAGACAGGCAGTTTATTTCTTAAAGTAATAAGTTCCCTTAGGGTATTTGCTAGGAATCCTAAAATATTTGGGAAGAGCTCCTATATAATCACATTTTAGAATTTAGGATTTTAGAAAGTTTGGGATTCTTGTTAAGTAAGTTGTGAATGTGAGTATTTCTTTTTGTTGTTCTATATCCATGGTTTTTTGCGAATTAGATCTCCAGAGCTGTGGTTTTCAGCATTCAGTAGCAGAACCCCAAGTGTTTCAGGACTGCATCTATTAGTTTTGAGAAAGATGAATAAGAAATGGAAATCTGTTATCTTTTGTTTTAAATTTGCCCAATTTGAATGTTGAATTGAAAATCAACATTTTAAAGTACCAGATTGTAAATGGTACTTTATGGAGTTTTACATCATGTAAAGGATTGCATTTTATTTAGACAAGCATTTCACTGATAAAATTTGGTGCTCTTCTCTCTATTCCCCCATATTCTTTCTTTCTTCCTGATGTATCTTCTGTAGGACACTTCATATTCCTCATGTTCTCTTGGGTTAGGTGACCTTCATGGAGCCCACTTACCATCCCCCAGTGGCTGGAGAGAGGTATCTGATGAGATCTACTACTGATGTGAACCAATTAATCCCTAATGATAGGCTGTGTCCAAACCCCATCTATAACCTGACAATTACTTTAAACAATTAGCAAAAGACAGTTATTCTAAGTCACAAACTGTTAGGATATTAAAAAGTTGACTGCTTGGTGATGCACAGGTGATGACCAACAATAGAGAGATGAACCTTATATTTTAAAACATGACAGCCCATAAGCTGAAACTGATACACCCTGTCCTAAGATTTTTGGCAAAGGAGGAAAATTATAAAAAATTATTCATTATAAAATAAGCTACTCATTATAAATAAATCTGACAAAATAAAAGGACTATCATCAATAATGTAATGACAAGCCTCATTTCAATAGCCATAGATTTCTATTCAATCATCTTTATGCACATTACACACATGTAGACAGGTAAAACTTTCCAGCATGATAAAAGGTTCGTTTGACAGAACCTCCATGGACCAACACTTATTTCCTCTAAATACTGAAAACAAAGTTGTTTCTTTTTTTTTTCAAGCCAACAGTCTGGTAGCAAATCTTTATTTAATACCACTTACATAAAGTAAATCTAGTACCCCAAAAGTAAACACCTTCTTTCAACAGCTGCTACCTGGTCAACAAATTATCACATACCTGCTGGCAAATGAAAATCTCCTTTTTGTTATAGACTAACTCAGCCAAGGTTTGGCCAGCTGCTTATGCTTTTTATCGTTTGTATTTGAGAGAGTTTTTGGTAGTGGTGTTTGGGGTATTTTGTGTGTAACTTACCCAGTAGAGATTGTGTGTTAACATCCCTTCTTCGAGTAAAATGCCTTCCAGGGAGATCCTTTGCCATGACAGTGGAAAGCAGAGTGTGTGCAAATAGCAGAAGGAAACATGCAATCATTTTCTTCATCTTCATGAAACAGAGGGACACACAAGGATGTAAAACTGCAAGAGGAGGAAAGGAGATAAGTTCTTTGATTACATAAAAAGATGCATTCCAACCACATCAGTCACCCAGCAGCATTGCTTCCCTTCCATCACATACAAACATGCAGACACACGGGCACCAAACAATACATACAACTTCAAGAAATAAGGTTTACACAATAACACAGCAGTTGGCAGTCCCTGTGTAGCATTTCTAAATTCTGTTAGTTGAAGTCCATCATCACCATTGACAACAATTTACAATAATCAAGTATTTTTAAAGTAAGAAAAGGAAGTTTTTTCACTCAGCCTGTCAGCATAAACAAGTTTCAGGAGGACACAAATATATTTTTGTTATTCCACACAGTGCTCCTTCGCAATTTTTTTTAGAAGTTTAATGGTTCTGTAGTCTGAGGGATTCTTGCTGCAGAAAATCTTGGAGAATTAAAATAGAAAGAAGAAAATATATTTCAGAAACAGCAAATATAAATGTGAACTGGCAACAACTCATGTTCACTTTTCAGAAGACAGTCCATGGTTGCTAACATGAAGATGTCAGTGCAAGATTTATCTTGCTTGTAGGAATAGACTCCTGAGGACTGGCAAGGAGCTTGCCATAGGTTCTGGAGCAATTTTATCATACAGAAGAACAAATTGGCAGCCAAAATTCCTACATTAAGAGATTACTCCTGACCAGGAGCTTGTAAATGCATTATAAAAAGCCATGGCTAACTCTGCCACAAACAGAAAACAAAGACTGACATGCTAGAGATTCATTTTCTGGCTGTGTTCCCCACTGGTGGCTTCCTCAGACAGAGGCTCCTTCTATGCTCCCCCAAACCTTTATTGCTGTGGTTGAGAGCACCCCACAGGAGCTGGATTCAGTCTTGGAGCGGGTGATAGGATGAAACTTAGTAAAGAGCTCCCCTAGGTGTGCAAGAGATGGATAGAACTACCCACTTTCATAACAAAGAACTATTTTAACTGAATCTGAGTGGAACTTCCGAAGCAGTGCAAATTTTAACAGTTATTCTTGGTGAAGTAACTAAGACTTGAAAACAATTTTAACAGGGCCCTAAACCTAACAAGCAGTTATGTAACAGAAGGCAACTAAATGCTTCGCTTCTGAAAGATAATTCATTTTGTTTCCCACCGTGAGCTATTCACTGACAGAAAGGAAAATTCTGAATATTTTCTCTCTAATAAAGATATCTCGTTCATTATTTTTCAGTCTTTCCCATGCAGCCATTAGACATAATGTATTTTTCTGACTATCAATCTATTTTTCCTTTTGTGTATCCTACTCAGCAGCCCCAAATGCAGACACAATGTTCTGGTGCATATGCCAAAATGAGTCCTTGCACTCAAAATGCCCACACTTACTTCAGTGTTCAATATTATCCAGTAATGGGCAATACATGATTTAAGGACATTTGAACTAGGAAACAAATGGAAATAGCTGGTGTTTATAAAAATGGCCACAAAATAATTAAATTTCTGGGCATCTGGATGGTATTGCTAGAGTTTTTCCAGTGTTCTAGTTAGAAACAGATGAACATTGGAAACAGCGCACACACCACTGGAAATGGGGCTGTGTTTCCCTGGAGGTAACAGTTGTTACATCTGGAGATCACCAACCCCAGGTATCGCTTCACGCCTCAGAACACCAACACAGACAGGAATTCTGTGCCAGGGGTCTCTCTGGCTCAGGCCTGCTCATTCAGCACACGAGGCAAACAGACCCCAAGGACACATGCCATTCTAGCACTGATGTTTTAGAAAATCAGAAGCCATGCTGTCAGGGTGTCACCGTCATATTTTCTGCAAAAATCTCCTTGCCCAGGATTCTTGTCCTGGGAAGCTCAGAAGCCTCAGAGGAAAAGGAAAACAATATTATCTCATTTGCTTCTCCTGTGTTTTGCTGCTTTGGAATGTGTTTGGAGATTGTTTATCCAACAGGTGCATGTTTCATTGGTTTCATGTGAATTGACTTAATGACCAATCATGGGGAAGCTGTGTCAGGGCTCTGGAAGGAGTCACGAGTTTTCATTATTATCTTTCTAGCCTTCTGTAAGATCCTTTCTGTATTCTTTAGTATAGTTCACTATAGTATTCTTTAATATAATATAGTATCATAAAATAATAAATTAGCCTTCTAAGAACATGGAGACAGAGTCATCATTCCTTCCTGCCACGGGGCACCCCGCAAATACAAGATCAGGGTTAAAGAGAATAGAGAAATGTCCTTGTTGCAAGGCTGTTACAGGAACTAGGTATGAACAGAATGCTCAAGAGGGCTTTCTGGCTCTTAACTACTTATCAGAGGCCTAATTCATCCCTCCTTTCTCTTCACCCTAAACAGCTGTGGAAAGGGCACAAAACTCTAATAAATCCATTTTAGCTGTGGCTGATGGCACGTTAAAGAACCAAGTACAGTGCAGCAGAGCCTTCATAAAACATTGCTAAACAACCCAGTAACAGCGTGATGCCAAAGGAAATGGTGGGAAAGCAGTGACTCAGGACAGTCCCACCCCAAAATAAACTCTCCTACATTCTGACACTTAAAATATTTTATACCTTTGTAGCAATTTTTGATATTTGGTCATAGTTAAAAATTCACTAGACTCATAGCTGTCCATAAGCAACTCCAGAAATAAGAAAAAAGAGTGTTGTGATTTGAAGTCTTTGAATTCTGTGAGGAAAATGTTTACATAGCATACAAATATATGATTAGATGACCACATAAACTGAGTAGTCTCCATAATCTTTCATTAGCTATCACTGAATTCTGGAATATATTAAATATTTTCAATTTACTGTAATTTTTACCAATCCCTTTGAAAAGTAAGGTTGGAATACCAAAGAAACAGAACCACTGAATAAGATATTGCTCAATAGTACTTACTTTGAATCCAGAAACTTTAGATCCTCAGATCTCAATATCTCTAGTCTGACAAGCAGAAAATAAATCTACTTAGAGATCCACCAAAAAGGATTTAGCTCTTGCTAAAATAAAATCTACTATGAGCACACTCCTACCCTCACCAACAGTGTTTTAAAATACTGTTTTAAACAAAAACTATACTTAACAGCAAAGAGGTTCTGTTGCCTCATCTTCAAAAAAAAAACCAAACCTACATATAATCTAAAATAAAAATGTAAGAAAAATTTCATTCATTTTCAGTGAGAAGGAAAAACCAAAACACCCCAAAGCCAAAGGCTGTATGTGTGATAACATACACTGATCCAAGCCTGCTGTCACCCCTTCATCCACACTGAAAGCTTCTGTGCTGCTTTCCTGGGGTGATGACAGCCTGGACTGGGTGCTTGGCTCTGGCTCCAGGTACACATTTGTGTCCACTGCTGCTTTTACATGACCAGTCTGTACTGTGGTTGCACGGCTGCTCCTCATACAGTCCTCCCAAGGTTCTCTGTTTATCCTCCGGGCCTTCTGCAAGGTCTCCTGTCCTCACTCTAGAAGCTGGATGGTGTTTACTGCACCGCGTTTGGTATTTAACACCTCATTTTTCCAGCAGGCTAAGCTCTTCTGCCACAGCCCTCTGGGGCTGGTTAACCCTTGCTCTACCATGAGAACACACTCCCAAAGTACCAAAGTTACAAAGTCATATTTTTGTGGCTACCTGGTGAATGTATTTCAGGTACTTTGATTCCAGCTGTCAGCACTTTACCATTGGGAACCAACTCCCCATGGCAGACCCAAGATCAAGTCAGTGCAAGACAAACATCCTGAACAGGTCAAAAAACAAAAACCAAAAACAACCGCAACACAAAAACCCCAAAAACCAAAACCAAAACCAAACAAAACAAAACCACAAAAAAAAAATCCCCAAAAAATCAACAAGAACAAAAACCCCAACAACAACAAAAAACCCCAAAACCAAAAAATACCCAGCAAGAGGAGGTTTCCCAGTCCATGGGGCTTTACCAGGTTGAGCACCAGATTCACCAGCTTTCAGTGCTCCACTCCTCCGCTGCTCCACAGTGAGAGGAAGAAGAGTGGGGCTCTCACAGCAGCCTTGGAGCACTCAGTGCAGCACAGTGCTGTGCTGGACGCATGAGGAAGCTGCTAACAGAGAAGAGACAACTGCTGTTCACAGAGGAACAATCTAGTGAGGACTGCTGGCCATATCTGCAGCTGTCTAGAAGAAGTTTGGTATAAAAGAGGAGATTTTCCCAGGAGATGGCAAATAAACAGACGGGCTCTCTGTTCTTTTAAGGCTTCCCTCATTCCCTAACTGGCTGCTAATCAAGAGCTGAATATTGCCATGGTGTGTTCTTACCAATTTTACCTGTGCTAGCTTAGCCATATACCCGTGCACCAGAGTAATTTTTCTGATGAACTGTTCTGGACTTTCATGAACCACAGTGTAGGAATACTAAAAAATAAAATTGAGATTTCCTCTTTAAAATAGCTATTTCCTTTGTTGGACAGCACTGAAACAATACAAGCCTGTTTCTCTGCTTTCAAATATCTTTCCATGGAAGTCTCCTTGAAAGGGATTGATGGCTGTTTTGGGCAGAGACATTACTGAATATTCAGTGTCAGTGGTAATAAATCAGTGACCTTCTGCACTGCCTGTTGCAGGGTATTAATATTTGTCCTCTTCACTGTGATACCTCTTAAATAATATCAAGGGAAAAGAGATGCTCTGTGGCTTATGCCAAAGTTAGTGTCCTCCCACCTCTTACCACACTTCAGGAAAATTTCTTTTACAGAGAAGCAGAAAACCCCTCCACTGACCTGTAAGATCACCTTTTTTTCACTCAAGTACCTTAAAATGTACCTGTCTTTGCTGAGCAGATGATGCTGAAAAACAAATTGGAAAACAAGTAATATGTTTCAGCTCACAACTTTTGCTCCTCTGTATGGTCTCTCTCCTTGTCTTGTAGTTCAAGTTTTCTTCCAAA